GCGGCCATGGCGTGCCTGGCAGTGGACCCTGCCATCCTCCTCATCGTGGTGGGCGTCCTCACCTTCCTCATCACCTTCTGCGGCTGCGTGGGCTCCCTGCGGGAGAACATCTGCCTGCTGCAGGTGGTGAGTCCTGCCAGGGCTGGGGACCCTGTGGCATCTCAGTGCTCCCCTCACGGTCACCTTCCTCTTCCCCTCACCATCACCTTCCTCTTCCCCTCACCATCACCTTCCTCTTCCCGCAGTTCTCCGTCTGCCTCACCATCATCTTCCTCCTGCAGCTGGCGGCCGGCGCGCTGGGCTTTGTGTTCTCTGATAAGGTACTGATAAGGGAGGGCACTGGGGGTGCTGGGTGGCCCCAGCCCTGTCCTGCTGGGTGGCAGCCTCGCTGCTGTCCCTCCGTTTGTCCCCCAGGCCCGCGAGAAGGTCAGCGAGCTCATCAACGGGGCCATCGTGCATTACCGGGACGACCTGGACCTGCAGAACCTCATCGATTTTGGGCAGAAGGAGGTGACAGGGGGGCCTGCAGGGTTGGGACGTCCCCATTGCCATGTCAGGCTTACATCTGTGGGGTGGCACAGGCTGGGGATGTTGAATGGCTCTTCCAAGATGTTCCCAGTGATGTCCTGCCTGGCAGGGGAAGGTTGGGGAGGGTTGGGGACACAAAGAGCCCTGAGTGTCCTGTCCCCCTGCCTGGGCTGGGGTCCCCTCCCCCTGAGCCCCGTGTCCTGCCCGCAGTTCAGCTGCTGTGGGGGTGTCTCCTACAAGGACTGGTCCCAGAACATGTACTTCAACTGCACGGCCACCAACCCCAGCCGCGAGCGCTGCTCCGTGCCCTTCTCCTGCTGCCTGCACGATGCTGACCAGGTCTGTGCTGGGGTGGCCTTGGGGACCCTGCCCGTGCCTGTCCTCCCTGCCCCGGGGGCTGGGCTGGGCCTGGAGCCCTGCCCAAGGGCAGGGAACCCATATGGACCCCATCCCACCCTCTGGGTTTGGGTTCCCCCATCCCACCCTCTGGGTTTGGGTTCCCTCATCCCACCCTCTGGGTTTGGGTTCCCCCATCCCACACTCTGGGTTTGTGTCCCCATCCCACCCTCTGGGTTTGTTCTCCAGTTCCACCCTCTGGGTTTGGGTTCCCCCATCCCACCCTCTGGGTTTGTGTCCCCATCCCACCCTCTGGGTTCGGGTTCCCCATCCCACCCTCTGGGTTTGTTCTCCAGTTCCATCCTCTGGGTTCGGGTTCCCTCATCCCACACTCTGGGTTTGTTCTCCAGTTCCACCCTCTGGGTTTGGGTTCCCCCATCCCACACTCTGGGTTTGGGTTCCCCCATCCCACCCTCTGGGTTTGGGTTCCCCCATCCCACCCTCTGGGTTTGGGTTCCCCCATCCCACACTCTGGGTTTGGGTTCCCCATCCCACACTCTGGGTTTGGGTTCCCCATCCCACCCTCTGGGTTTGGGTTCTCCCATCCCACCCTCTGGGTTTGGGTTCTCCATCCCAACCGTTGGGTTTGGGGACCCCTGTGTGGAAATGCTGTGGTGAAGTGGGGGAGAATTCTCCCTCTCCAGAGCTGGAATTGGCTCTTTGGGGCCAGGCGGCTCTGGAGGGACAGCGTGGGGACACCAACNCTCTTCTGGGTGAGTGCGGGGACACCGGGACACCGCGCTCCCGAAGGACGTCCGGACCCGGGGGCTGGGCCCCATCCCTGGGACACCGCCATCCCCGGGACCCCTCATCCCTTGGGAGTGTCTCCATCCCTGATCCCTATTGGGACTCCCCATCCCTGAGATCCCACGGGGACCCCCCAGCCCTTGAAATGTCTCCATCCCTGAACCCTTTTGGGACCCCCCATCTTCGGGACCCCCAGCCCCTGGCAATGTCTCCATCCCTGAACCCTTTTGGGACCCCCCATCTTCGGGACCCCCAGCCCTTGGGAATATCTCCATCCCTGAACCCTATTAGGACCCCCCATCCCTGAGATCCCACTGAGAACCCCAGCCCTTGGAATGTCTCCATCCCTGAACTTTTTTGGGATCCCCCATCCCCAGGGACCCCCAGCCCACTCTCCAGCCCGGGATCTGTTTTGGGACCCTGCATTCCCCCAGCTCACCTCCATCCCCAGGATCCCACCGGGATCCCTCTTGTCCCCAGCCCTCCCCAGGGACATCTCCTGCAGGGAAGCCACAGTTTTCCATGTTTAGGGGCCTTTTTAATGATTTTTTTTAATGTTTTGAGGTATTTTTATGTTTTCGTAAAGTTTTATATTTTGAGTATTATTTTATGTTTCCGGGACTCTTTTAAAACATTTTCGAGAATTTTGTACCGCTTGGGAGGTTTGGAGTTTTATTTATGTTTGGGGGTTTTTTCTTTATGTTTGGGGCTTTTGTGGGGGTTTTTTGCAGGGTTTTTTTTTTGTGGGTTATTTCCGTGTTTGCAGTCCTATTTTTGAGGAAGTTCCTCACTTCCCATAAACCACATTGCTGTGTCCAGCCACCCGTAGAGGAACATCACTGGCTGGC